ATCTTTCTTTTTTCCGTCGCCCACCTGACGTGCTCCCCCCACCTAGTTTCATCCCTTCTTTCCTCCCCTCCTTCCCCTCCGTTGTCCCGCCTCTCCATCCCCCTTAATGTCTCACACATTCCCGTTGTCCCCTCCTTCTGCCATGTTTCTAGGCGGGAGCACGGCAGCATGACGGAGAGAGTCAAGCACACGGCACAGCTGCTGCGGGTGCTGGGGCGGGTGGATGGGAGCAAGACCCAGGAGAAGCGGAAAGGGAAGGGGGAGATGCGCGGGAATGGAGAGGGAGTTGAGGGGGCGAATAGGGAAGCGGAGGGCAGCAGGGGCTGAGAGTAGACTGTGATTGAAAGGATTGGGTAGCGGGGAATAGAGAAGAGAGGTGAGAGAAGCGGTGAAAATGGGGCAGCTGGGGGCGCAGCGGGGGAAATGTGGGGAAGCTGGGAACAGTGGGAAGTGTCGAGAAAGCTAGGCAAAACGAGAAACAGGAAAGAGTGCTTTTTACTAGCAGCAGCAGGATACATATAACATTCTGGGTTGTACTCGCTATAAAGTACCCCACTGCAGGCTAGACACACATAACATTCTGACACACCCCCATAGTCAAAGTGGGGTACAATCAACACAACAAGCAGGCAGAGCAGTAGTTCACAATTATAAGCAGCGCTAGAGACTATCACAGAGAGCAAGTGAGGAGGAGGAGAAACTGTGGGGCCGAGAAGATGAGAGACGACGGCTGAAGCTGCAGACACACGGGCAACAGAAGTGCGCAGCACTGTCGCTACCAGGCTAAACCCGGACTACACGGCGACAGGCTCTGCTGGCTCGCTGTGCTCCCACGAGTGCTCACACTGTGGCTACCGGGCGCAGAGCCCCGGACTACTCAGGCCACAGGGGGTCGTGGCTCTCTGGACTACCAGGAGTGCTCACACCGTGGCTACCGGGCGCAGAGCCCCGGACTACTCAGGCCACAGGGGGTCGTGGCTCTCTGGACTTCAGGCGCTGCGGACGACAAGTCGGCTACCTCCGGTCAACCTCCCCCAACTGTTCCACACCCCTTTCACACACTTCCTGCTGAACCACTAGCACCGCTCACACGCCACCCCCCTCGTACCACTCCGACGGCTCCAACACATCCACCCCCCTCAGCGGCAGCTGCAGCAGTGGGAGACGGAGGAGGAGGAGGAGAAGGGGACGGCTCACACACACGGCACCCCCATACTCTCCACCCCCAAACCCTAACACAGGAACGCGGGCAGCAGCGGGGGTGGGGCGCGGTCAGAAGCTCGGGGGACGGCGTGCGGCACAGGGGAAGACGGTACGGGCCGCTCACGGGCCTGGCGCAGGCCGGACGAACCGCGCGCGGGCTGCCCGAGCCGCGCGCGGGCCTGGCGCAGCCCGTACGGGCCGCGCGCGGGCCTGGCGCAGCCCGTACGAGCAGCGCGCGCACGAGCCTGGCGCAGGCCGTACGGGCCGCGCGCGGGCCTGGCGCAGGCCGTACGGGCCGCGCGCGGGCTGTACGGGCCGCGCGCGGGCCTGGCGCAGGTCGCGCGGGCCGCTACGGGCGACGAGGGGCGACGCGCGGGTCCCCGGGGGCGCTTCGGCGGGCGACGGGGGGCGACGCGCGGGTCGACGGGGCAGCAAACCGCCGCGCACCTCGGGGCGCACGGCGGGCAGGGAACCGCCGCGCGCCCCGAGCGCGCGGCGGGAAGAAAAAACGCTGCGCGCTCCGAGCGCACGGCAGTGAGAAAACGGCGCGCGCCCGGGGCACGCTACAGGCAGTAGAGCAGCGGAAGCATCGGGTGGGGCCCACCCACAGGATCGACCCAGGAGGGTCGACCTGCTCTGATAGCATGTCGAGAAAGCTAGGCAAAACGAGAAACAGGAAAGAGTACTTTTCACTAGCAGCAGCAGGATACATATACGAAACCCTAAATCGGGTTGTACTCGCTATAGAGTACCCCACTGCAGGCTAGACACACATAACATTCTGACAGGAAGGAGACACGTCAGAACCAGAATCAGTTGAAAAGGTGAGGGGTGGGTGGCGTGGGGTGGGATGGGCTACGAGGGATAACATGGAGTGTTATTGGGCAGGATGGGGTGGATGAAGGGAACAGGATGAAATGGCTGGGGTTGGGCTAGGTTGTGAAGGCCAGGACAGGTCTATGGGTTATTGGGCGCATAATCTCCTTGTGGCTCGGTCATTTCCCTGAATCTGTTCGCAGGGAAGGGAGCAGAGCAGTCCATTCGCTCAATATCTGAAGTGATCTCTCAAGCAAGGGGTCGGTCAAATTTGTCAGAATCCCAGTCACTAACCACTGGGATAAAAGGGCTTGTTTATATAGCGGGTGAGTGCGCCCATAACCCCCCAGGCCGACGTGCCTGTAACCCTTCCCTAGGATCATCGGGGATCCCCAGTGGACCTCTGACACCCCCCCGCACTGGGATGCCCGAAGTGCACACACCGGGAATCGAACCCGAGACCTTCGCTCTGATACCATGTCAGAATCCCAGTCACTAACCACTGGGATAAAAGGGCTTGTTTATATAGCGGGTGAGTGCGCCCATAACCCCCCAGGCCGACGTGCCTGTAACCCTTCCCTAGGATCATCGGGGATCCCCAGTGGACCTCTGACAAAATTACCATATGAAATGTGGGATCCGTATCGTGCACGATTTTGTGCAAGCATTTCTGCGGCCTGCACAGCGTTGTGTGTTCTGCTCTGCAGTGAAACCGTTGTAAAATTTGCCTTCACTTGTTGGGGATGAAGGTAAAAAATCCGTATTCTCCCGGATATAGGACCCTCCCGAAAAAAGACCCCCGGGACTTATGATCGGGTCTGGGACTCTTAATATGTATGCTATATGAGAGGACCCCCCTTTTGCAATAAAACATTTTAAGACCCCCCTTTTCTGTATACACTAGTCAAAATCGAAAATGCGCGACAGCTTATAGAGGCACAAAATCCGAAATCTGACGCGTCATTTGTGTCAGATTCGGGTTCTGACACACCAATCATGTCAGATGCGAAATCTGACGCTTCTGACGCGCCGCTCGCACGAGTTTCGCGCACGTGGGATTTTTTCGGTTCGAACATAAGACCCCCCCCCCCCCCCCCCCCCCCCCCCCCCCCCCCCCCCCCCCCCCCCCCCTTCAAATTCAAGTGTACACCCCTAAATCGCATAAGTGTACATGATTATTAAGTGTACCCGGGACTCTTACAACTCGTTCCGATTAAATGTTCACCCTAGTCATTTTGCCTCTATTTTAGGAAAGTCCCCCGGGTCTTATATCCGGGAGAATACGGTTGTTTTTATGGAGGTACGTTTAGAATAGAAACGGGGGCCATAGTCAGGTCAGGATTTGCACCACTTGAACATTGTTGCGTGTAAATGCAACAAACGGAATATACTGCACCCAATACACGCTTGTACACTCACACGTTTGGACTTTCAAATTCTCGAAAGGACAGGCAACCTGCTCCGCTTGGATGCTGCTGACGGACGGTTAGGGGCGCCATCGTCACGTCACAGGAAGCTGCTATTACTCTAAATAATTGCGAATCGCCCAGTCAATAACTGCTATTGCACGCCATAGTATTGCTCAAGATATTACAAGATCGGTTCCATTCAATAGTCTTGCTCCACATGCGGCATTCGAAGCATTTGCCAGGTCAACAATGTCTAACCTTCCGTGCACCTGGATTGGGTGTGCAAGCGTGGGGGATTTCGGAGCTGGCAGCTGCAGCCAATAAAACGATTTGGTCCTAGTCCTCACTGCCGATTTGAAACAGAAACCGACACGCACACGCTTCGACAGTTTGTCATCTTGGCAGGTGTTCACGTGCGTCGGGTCGCACGAAGGTCACTCCTCCCATTGCTTACGACTCACGTGAGGCCTTGTTAGAGCAACATCAGGGGCAGTATGCCACTTCTAGGATGCCCACCTGGAGGGTATCGTCTGCGAGAATGCCGGCCTCCTATGCTACAACTAGAACCTACGCAATGATTTCCGTTCACTCCCTGCCCCGTCCCTCCCACTCCACTTGTCCCACACTTCACCGGCGCGGCATCCTCGTCCGTCGCACATCCCTGCCTTCCAGTCTCTCACCATCGCACACCTACTCAGTAGGTGATGGCGAGGGGTCTCGCCAGCGGCGCCGGAAGTGCGTCAAGAGAGCATCCCTCCCGATTATCGGTTGACGATGATGTGCAGACGATGCCCGTCCCGACTCCGGGTCCGGGCAGAGGCAGCAATGTCGAAAAGGCTCGATCAGGTGGCTGGACCCAGCCGACAATCGAGCCAAGATCTTTGTGCATATGCCGCATTGCTGCTCCAGCTGACGGTAGCGTAAGCGCGTCATCACGACGAATCTATTGACGAAACAAGATGGGTATAGACGTGCGATGTGGCCCTCCTCATCATCCTCTTTCGAACTTTCCGTGCCAGCTGAATTCTAAGTCGTGACTTGAACTCGTGCTCTTCTGCCAGTTCACTGAGAGCGCTTGGTTGCCTGATAATAGTACGACTGCTTTCAAGAACCGCGGAGTTACCGCCATGCAGCAGTCGTCTGAGGTCGTTAACTCCCCGCCTTCCCAATCCGCGTCGCTCGGCATGCAGCCGTGGTCGCACGAGGTGGGTTGCGGCGCGACCACCCAGGAGAATTCTTGAAAGAATTCCCGGAGTTTCCAGCTTCAAATAGGATTCAACATTCAATCTTGCACTTTCTTGCGTCAGGACTTTCAGTGTGCCTTGAACCTCGGCCTTCCACATTCAATGCTCATGATAAGAGCTGCACTCACACTGCCATTCCCTCCGCGCTCTCACGGCAGGAGGACGCTATTTTGCTGCGCCACGCGCTGCAGTGCGGCACAAAGCAGTGGGGAGATTTGGGGAGAAGCGGTCAGCTCAAGAGGAGCAACAAGTCGTGCTGTAACCGTTACATCTTCCTCCGACGGTAACCCGCACGTCACAGTCATGGTTTCTCTAACTCGGTTTTATTATGCGCATGACATTTCTGGTTGCACACCTCAGCAGCCCTTCTGAACAGCTCTCTCCCCTGTGGCCGTGTGTTGATGGCAGGAAGTTCACTCGCTGCTTTCGCGAGAACTTTCTGCGAAAGCACCTGGAAGATGCTGCGCTTCTCCAGCACGTTTCATTGGACGGATATCGTCAGCCGGTTTTTTCTAAGGGTTTCAAGCAGCAGCAGCAGCAGCATGCGGAGGGGGTCGGTCCAGCTGCCCTGGCGTTCGGAGGGCTGTCGTTTGACGAGTGCACAGCCATCTTTTTCGCCCCCAACGCGCGCCCCTGCCGCCACCCATCTCTCGCACCCAACATCTCATCTTTCTCCACCCCTCCTCCTGTCTCCCAAGCTCCTCATTTTGCTTCACAAGCTGCCACCTTTTCTGCTGCTGCTGCTTCTACCACCAAGTTCCCCTTGGCTCATGATGCCATCCCCGTTGCTGCTGCCACTATTTCCACTGCTCTGCGCCGTACAGTGAAGCGACCACGGGACGACTGCCTGGGCCTGGGGCCACACCAGTTGCTGCGAGGCGGGCGTGAGAATTGGTTGTTGCGAGGCGGGTGGGTGCGAGGCCGCGCGTTGGATCGGAGAGTGCCCTTCCAGACGATGTGCTGCTGGGGTGCAGCAGCGACAAACCAACCTTCATGCAACGTGCTTCTCTCTCTGCTCCTGCGCCCACCCAGCCACGTGCAGTGCTGCCACCAGTGCCCTCCGAAATCGCTGCTCCGCTTGACTCCACCGGAAATTTGGCCCCTTGCTGTGGGGATTTCACTCCTTGCATTGGGCGTTTCGCAGAGGCGTGGCTGGGCGTTGGGTCAGAGAGTGCCCTTCCAGACGACGTGCTGCTGGGGTTCTGCTGTGAGGGCCCTGCCTTCACGCAGTGCTCTGCTCCTCCGCCCACCACCCAGCCACTCGCACCGCTGCCAACATCAATGCCCCCGCTGCTTACTGCTCTGTCTGGCTGCGCTCCTGGCAGCTGCATTACAGGGACGGGTGCCGCACAGGAGCTGGAATACCTCGATGCGTGTCTTAACGTGCTCGGCGACATGATCAGCATCGACAACAACACAGCCGATGGCAACGACAACAACACAGCCAATGGCAACGACAACAACACAGCCAATGGCAACGACAACAGCACAGCCAATGGCAACGACAACAACACAGCCAATGGCAACGACAACAACACAGCCAATGGCAACGACAACAACACAGCCGATGGCAACGACAACAACACAGCCAATGGCTATGACAACTACACAGCTGATGGCAACGACAGGAACGGCAAGGATGCTCTCTATCTCGACACGCCTGTGGCGGACATGCTGCTGGGTGGGCGTGCCCTCACCTCCTCCGTGCACTGGGAGGGTGAGCCTCAGCAGCAGGCGCTGCCCGCCCTTGGTGCTGCTGGTGCCGCCCCTGGTGCTGCTGGTGCCGCCCCTGGTGCTGCTGGTGCCGCCCTTGGTGCTGCTGGTGCCGCCCTTGGTGCTGCTGGGGCAGTTTCTGGGTCTGCTGGAGTATCTCTGGCAGAGTGGGCAGTGGAGCAGGGTGGGACCAGCGGGAGAGATGCTCAGCCGCACCAACACTAGCATTGGCACTGGCACCAGCACCGGCACCGGCACTGGCAGCTGAAGGGTTGTGAGCGTCAAGAGGTTGAGCCGATTCTCTCGCACCAACAATACCTGCCAAACCCGAGGTGCTCTACCAGCTCTCTGTCAATGTGGCCCGACGTGGCCCTTACTCTGAGAGTTAATGGTGCTGCTCCGCATGCCACAGCTGGTTATGTGTTCAGATTGGATGGGCGTGACACATGACTCTGCTAAATTGTTTTATAACAAGATTCGACGTTTACGTCGGAAGGGTTGCGTAGAGTCGTATTCCGTGTGTTAAAAGCATTATGATGGAGTATATCATATTTTACTTATAGAAGAAATTCAGCAAGTTCTTCCTAATCTCGATAATCTCGATAACCAAGAAACTCAGCAGGACAAGCTCGATAATCATGGAATAAAAATAGTTTCTACATGTTTTTTTCACTCAAAATCAGTTTTGAGTGTTAATCATTATGGAACAATTCGAAGTGCTTGCGTCATGTCCACACCTTTGTGTCAAATGTTGGTAGCCTGTAGTGAGATGTGTCTTAGGGGGTACGTATGTTAGGGTTTGCTACTTGTACCCCAACCACCATCAATGAAACAACACTTCCGATTTTAACATGGTATCACCTAGGTTAGGATCCTGTAGGATCCCGTTCCTCCCGACCTCGTTCGTATCGCCCGAGCCTGTCTCCCTCTCTCGTATTACTTACGCACGTCTTGCCCGAGCCTAGCGCCGGCCCGCTCTCGTCCCGTTCCTTCGTTACCGCCCGTTCCGCCGATCCCCTACTCGAGTAGCGTAGCGACCTTCCTCCCCCCTGCTGGCCCGTCGCGTTTTCCCCCCTCCGAGGCCCGTCGAGTCGCGTTTATCTTTTTTTTTTCCCCCCCGCTGCCCGTCGAGTCGCGTTTTACCCCCCGCTGCCCGTCGAGTCGCGTTTCCCCCCCTGCTGTCCGTCGAATCGAGCTCTCCCCGCCCGTCGTCCCGTCGCCCGTCCCCCCCTTACGCGCGCCACCGCTGCGCCTTCCCCCGTCGCCCGCCGCAGCCTGCGCCCGTCGCCGCGGCGCCCGCCTTCGCTGCTCGTCGCGTCGCGCGCGCGACTGCCCTTAGCCCCCGCGCGGCTCCCCCTTAACGCCCGCCCCCCCGCGCCCGCGCGGCTGCCCTTAGCCCCCGCGCGGCTGCCCCTTAACGCCCGCCCCCGCGCCCGCGCGGCTGCCCTTAGCCCCCGTGCGGCTAACCCTTAACGCCCCCTCCGTTTAGCTGCGCCTCTGCCTCGTTTAGGGTTTCCCGCTTCGCCCTTTGCCCGCCCGATTTTAGCCATGCCATCTCGTTTAGGGTTTCCTGCCTCCGCTTTTCCGTCGGTTTTAACGATGGCGACTCCGCGTGTTCTTTGCTTTGACGCTGACGGTAGACCCCTTGACTTTTCGCTCTGGCTTCTGCGCGCTCGCCGTCAGTTAGAGAGTCAGGTCCAGTCAGGCGAGACCCTCTGGGCGCACGCTGCTGGTGCCCTCCCTGCGCCCCCCGACCCTACGCCTTTAGGTCCTGCCCCTGACGACGCCGCTAGAGCTCGCTTCGCTAGCCAGCGCGCTGACCTGACAGCTTGGACGTCGCGTGACGCTGCGGCCTGCATCGCGCTCAGCACCCTTCTCCCTGAGTCTGAGGAGGCTCACTTTGCTCAGGTTCGCACTGCTGCTGAGTACCTGACTGCGATTAAGGCCCGCTACTCCACTCCTGCTGCTGTCTCTCTTGGCCGCCTTTTCCTCCCGTTCCTGTTCCCTGATCTCGCCTCATTTGAGCGCTCTGCTGACTTGATTGCTCACCTCCGCTCGCTCGACTCTAGTTACCGCGCTGCTTGCACTGAGGCCCAGCTCGCACTGCTTCCTCCTCCCATGGCGATTACTATCTATTTTATCGCCACCAGCCTCCCCGACCGCCTTGCCTCCGTTCGTGACGCGCTTCTCCTGAAGCACCCTAGCGAGCTCACTATTGACGTCCTTGAGTCTGCTCTCAAGGACGTCGAGAGCAACCTCCGCTCCGTCGCCGCTGCCTCTGGTGCTGTGCCCCCTCCGCTCTTCCACGGGTGCACAGTTCCGCAGTTGCCCACCTTTACTGCCTCTCTCGCCACTGCCGCTACTGACGTGACCGCAGCTGCTGTTACGACTTCGTCGCGGTCCCGCGGTAGGGGTGGCAAGAGGGGCGGTGCTGGCGGCGGCGTTGGTGGAGGCGGAGGTAGTGGGGGTGGCGTTGCGACTGGCGGTGGTGGGAGTGCAGGGCCTGGAGAGACGTCTCGTGCAGCGACCGGTGACTCCACTGCGACTGCTGGTGGTGGCGACGCCCGCGTTCGTCAGTCGCCCCCTGTACTGCCAGCCCCGGTGGGTGGAGCAGCGGCGTGGTACCGGGCCCAGCGTCAGCAGCAGCTTCAGCAGCAGCAGCAGCCCCTCTCCTCCCAGCAGCCTCCGCAGCAGCAGCGGCCGCAGCTGGCTTCGGGGTCGGGGCCGCGTCAGCCGCAGCGTGGTGCTGTTTACCCTCCCTGCGCCTATCAGGTTCTGACAGGTGCTCGCCGGGGCCACCCTTGTGGCCGCCTTCACCCCCCTGGTCAGTGTTTTGCTCAGCTCACTGACACGGTTCGTTTGGTTTACGGGGTTGGCGGTCCTGCCCCTGACTGGTTTCCCCTTGTTCAGCGTTACGGTTCCGCTCTGTGGGACATGTCTGCTGAGCAGTTAGCTGATCTGATTGGAACTCCTCATGCTATGTATGCTGTTGTTGACTCTAGTGTTTCTGACTCTGTTTACTCTGGTGTTGTTAGCTTAGGTACTAGCCTTGCTCAGTTGCCTGTTGCTAGTGTAGGTTCTTGTGTAGACACTAGTCTAGCGGCTACCTCGGATGACACTTCACTGTCTTTCACGCTGGACTCTGGAGCCTCGCACTGCTTCTTTCGTGACAGCACGACACTTACGCCACTTCCTGCGCCTGTCTCTGTGGCACTGGCTGATCCCACCTCGGGACCAGTCACTGCGCGTCACACTACCACTTTGCCGTGTCCTGCTGCTCCCTCCGGGTCCCTCACTGGGTTTCATGTCCCCTCGTTCTCCCGGAACTTGGTGGGTGTGCGACCCCTCGTGAGTCAGCACGTGGGTGTGTGGTTTGAGCCTTCTGGGGAGACTGCGGTGTGTGTTGACGGTGACTCTTACCAGCCTCTGGCCACCTTTGCTGCTGAGCCGGGTTCCGGTCTCTACACTCTTCACACTGGCCCGCGCGCACGGCAGCGGACGCAGCAGCAGCGGCAGCAGCAGCAGCGGCAGCAGCAGCAGCAGCAGCAGCAGCAGCAGCAGCAGCAGCAGCAGCAGCGCAGCAGCAGCAGCAGCAGCGGCAGCAGCAGCAGCAGCAGCAGCAGCAGCCGCAGCGGCCGCCGTCGCAGCAGCCCCTACTCCCAGTTCCTGTCCCTCCCCCTAGTCTCCTCCCTGCGTCTCACCAGGTGGTTCCGTCCCCTCAGGTTGTCGCGTCCAGTCCAGTCGCTGCGTCTTGCTCCTGTCGGTCGCTTGCCCACCCCACCGTTCTGTGGCACCACCGGATGGGACACCCTTCTCTTCCACGTCTGCGTGCTATGTCTAGTCAGCGTCTGGTCTTAGGTCTCCCGCGTGTCTTGCCGTCGCTGCCGCCGTCCCTTGCACCACCGTGCGGTCCTTGCGTCGAGGGTCGGCTGCGCGCCACCCCTCACTCCTCCTCCCTTCGTCCGGCCACCGAGCCGTTTGAGACGCTTCACCTGGACGTCTGGGGCCCCGCCTCTCGCCTTGGCCCTGAGCGTGAGCGTTTCTTTCTGGTGGTTGTTGACGACTACTCCCGCTACACCACGGTGTTCCCCCTGGCGAAGAAGTCTGAGGTGACTTCTACGCTGATCAGGTGGTTGCTCACCACCGCGGACACTCGTGGTCGTCGTGTCAGCTGTCTTCACTCCGACCGCGGGGGTGAGTTTCGCTCCGGCATTCTCGCTGGATTCTGTCGCGAGCAGGGCATTCGTCAGTCCTGGACGCTTCCAGAGTCCCCGCAGCAGAATGGGGTTGCTGAGCGCCGCATAGGCTTGGTCATGGAGATCGCCCGCACCTCCCTGACTCACGCCCGTGCCCCCCATTTTCTGTGGCCTTACGCGGTTCGGTACGCCGCGCACCAGCTGAACCTCTGGCCACGCGTCTCTCGGCCAGAGGCTTCACCGACCAGTCTTTGGACCGGGTCCCCTGGTGTTGCGTCGAGGTTTCGTGTCTGGGGTTGCTTGGCTCTTGTCCGCGACACCTCTGCGGACAAGCTCTCGCCTCGCGCCGTCCCCTGTGTCTTCCTTGGTTTCCCTGAGGACTCCTCTGACTTTACCTTTTACCACCCTCCCTCTCACCGGTTCTTTGACTCCCGTGACGTCCGTTTCGAGGAGTCCACCCCGTACTTCGTCAGGCACCCCAGTCGAGGTCTCTCGGTTCCTCCTCTCCCCCTCTTCCTGACTGCCGCTCCCCCTCCTGCTCCCCCGGTACAGCCTCCCCCCCCTGGTCCAGCCCCGTCAGGTGTGTCCCAGGCTACCCCTCCTCCTTCGGTAGCCCCTCCGGTACAGCCTCCCTCCCCACAGTCCTCCTCGCAGCGTGTCGCATGTGCTAGCTCTCGAGAGGTTGGTGCCGAGCCTGTTCCTGTACCGGTTTCTGGTTCTGGGGGTGCTGGAGTTGGAGCTGAGCCGGTGGGTGCAGAGGACTCTTGTCTTCCGGGAGCTGGTGCTGGTCGCGCGGACACTGGAGGTGCTCCGTCTTGGGGTGAGGGTGCGCCTCCTTCAGGTTCTGGTGAGCCTGGGTCTGGAGCTGGTGTTAGTGCTGCCTCTGGGGGTGGTGTGCCTGGTCCTTCGGGGGTGGACTCTGGAGCTGCCGCTGCTCCGGACACTACTCCGCCCCCCCACCCCCCAGACTAGGCACCAGGCTCGTGTTTGCCGTGCCCGTGAGGAGCAGCTGGCGTTGGAGAGAGAGGA